TCTGGTTTGATTGACCCCTGTTGTCATTTTCACTATTATTATTAGTTATTGGCAAAATATTCGGCGGAAAGCTGAACAAGATTCTGTTAACCAAATACTTAGGATAGCCATTGTTGGTAAATAAGACTGAAAGTTTCCTTAAATTGAAAAGATGGAAAGTACTGTCAGAGATTTTTATAACCCTGTTCTTCATTTGTTTCACCAGGTTTATTTTTATTTTAAGTTCATGGTAAGACCTGAAGTTCAGGAACCTTCCGGAAGAAATTGGTTTCCTGTGCCAGTCTACCAGTAATATATTGTCATTGGTACTAATCAATCTTGAATCCAAAAAGGGAACAGATTGATTGTCATCTTCTTTTTCGATGGTGAACTGGATGTAAGGACCATAACTGTTGAAAACCTCAACAATATCATCCACCCTATCATAAGGAAGACAAACGATTATATCGTCCACATACTTTTTAATGAAAATTAGATTGTATGGCAATACTTGAATAACAACATCAAGCAGGTCATCCATTACATATTCTACCTAAATTGGAGATAAAACAGAGCCCATGGGGCAGCCATGTGTTTGTGAAAACACTTTGTTATTAAAGGTAAAGTAATTGTTCTGGAAAAGGTACTCTACGATATTGATGAAAGAATCCAGAGTTAGGTTGCTGTGTTGGCAAATTAGATCCAAATGTTTGTTGATTTATCTGATGCAAGCTTCTAAATACACATTGCTGAACAGTGAAACTACATCTAAACTCGCAATAACATGATCCAGGGGGTATTTGAAATCTATTAAATTGTTGACAAACATCAAACGAGTCTTTTATAAAGTATTCTCCTTTGATGTGAGCTGACTTTAGAGTATCTGCAATTAATGAAGATGAAGCTAGTGTGGCTGATTCAACAGAAGCTACAATCGGTCTTACTGACAGTACCGGTTTGTGTATTTTGGGAAAAGCATAAAATTTAGGAGAGACAGAATTATAAGTGATTAAGGACTTCTTTTGGTCTTGGTTGATTTGACCAGTGCTGAGTAGCTTGTTAACAATGTCATTGCAACCTTTCTCTACTTTAGATGTAGGGTCTTTATTGATAACCTTGTAAGAGGGATCATTATCAATCAAATTATTACATAGGTCAAAATATTGTTATCTTAACATGATTACGGTAACATTGCCTTTGTCTGATTTTGTAACAATTAACTCGGGATGATCCTTAATAAATTTCCTTGTTTTATTTAGCAGGTTGTGGTAGAAAGAGTGTTTTTTGTTAATGCTACCGTTGTGAAAGTAATTTGTGATAATATTGGTGGAACGAGTTATCGCAATGTTCCTTTCTGTGTCATCACTAATGGAAGAAGATATAGAATCAACATCAGCCAGAATATGTCTGATTGCAATGTCACTGTTGACAAATGGTTCAACGGAAATTTTGGACCCAACGATAGAAAACTGGTGATGTCATCTGGAATGCTGACATTACTGAGGTTCTTTACCCAGTTTGGATGAGTGTTCAGCAAAATTTTCATTGTGTCACTTAGTAACCTGTCAAACTTACGTATATTCGAATTTTTGATAGAATGGAACAATGTATTATAATGTCCTAATTGTCTCGATTGAAAATTATTAAAAATTAAGAGGGACGTGAGTGAAATGATTTCAGTTTTCAAAAGTTCAAGGGATGGGTGAAGTTTTTTTAATTGTTTATGACAAGAAGGGATTTCAAGAGAAAGTATTTTCTCACCCAACCTTTGTAAGGGAGATTGTAGTCCATCTTCTGCAAGGTGATTGTGTATGATGTTATGCGATGGTTGTTGTGTGGTGGTAGGATGTTATTCTTTATGCACTTCATCAGAAATATCCGCCTGTTTACTTCATGAGCCAAACGTTTTTTGTGTTTAATCCAGTCCTTCAGTAGTGTAACCGAGCGTGTTCCATGACGTTCTTCAATTTGGAAGTATCCCAAATCTGTGGATGTTACTGAGATTCTTGATCCAGTTGGAGTGTTGAGCAAAGTTTTCATATAGTCATTTAACAATCTGTCAAACTTACGAACATCAGAGTTCTTAATGTTGTGAAAAATTTTATTGTAATGTCTGAGTTGTCTAGATTTGAAATTATTGGATATTAAGGGAGAAGTAGAAGAAAGTACGTCACTTTTGAGTAAGTTGAGTGTGGAATGAAGTTTCTTCAACTATCTGTGGCAGGAAGATATCTCAAGTGTCACCTAACCTGTGCAAAGGATTTTTCATCCCATCTTATACTGAATGGTTGTGTAGAATGTATGTGATTGATGTTGTTTGCTCAACTCTCAGCCAAACTGGATCAAGAATCTCAGTAATGTTGACATCCCTAATGACATTTTAAAATTTCTTTCCCTGGGGCCTAAGTTCAGTGTGGAGCCGATTGTTAACAGTGACATTCCAATCAGATCCATCCTGGCCGATGTAGACATAATAGCATGCTCCATAAGTGATGTCACTGAAAGAAACATTTTCACAACTCGTTTCACCAACCTCATCACTAACTATTATCACAGCAATAATCTTAATAAAAAGCATTCCTTCTATCACAACCTTTTAAACAAAACTAGAACATTTCTAAAACAACATCCTGAACTCATGGTCACAAGATCTGACAAAGGCAATGTTACAGTAATAATGTAAAGACAACACTATTTGGATCTTTGTAATAATCTTATTAATGATGATCCAACATATCCCGAAATGAATAGAGATCCTACATCAAATGTGGAAAAGAAATTTAATGGCATTGTTAAGGAACTCCTCAGCACTGGGCACATAACCCAAGAACAAAAAAGAACTTTGACTACTTATAACTCAGTCCCTCCTAAATTCTTTGCACTTCCAAAAATACATAAACCTGTACTCTCAGTAAGACCTATAGTTGCATCAAAAGGTTCAGCCAACCAGGCTTTGTCTTCATTAATATCGGAAACATTAAAATCGGCACACAATGGTTACTACATCAAAGACTCGTTTGATGTCTCGCGCCAGTTCAACAGGTTGCCAATACCACCTGATCACATTGTCGCCAGTTTTGATGTGGTGTCGCTATTCAGTAATATCTATCTGGATGTATGTACTAGAACTATAAATAGACACTGGGATGAAATAAGTCAACACTGTATCATATCTCTAGAATCTTTCAAAACTGTTCATCAACAATGGTTATCCGAAGTGTTTGATTAACAAGATCTTGTTCAGCTCTCCTTCCAGTATTTTACCAAATACTAATAATCCAAATAATATTCTCACAACTCCCAATAATAGAACTGATATAATTCCCAACAACAACACCAATTCCAATAACAATATAACTGCCATCTCAAATTCCAGATCGGGTTTTGCTATCCTACCCTATATCAAGGCCCTGACACACGATTTGCCTTCTTTCATCTATGTCGTCGTGGTCCACCATTTTGCACAGTAAGAATCCGTCGTCCATAGCTAGAAAATTCCATTGTGCCCAATATGATTTTGTGGTAGGAGAATACTTGGCAACTTCTTCCTAGGCTGGTTTCCATTGTTCTTTCATTCAGTTCAGAATTATTTGGAGATCGAGGTCGCCCTCTTGGTCTTTAATGAGGTCTTCGTTTTGCCAAGTATCACTAACGATATTGCTTCTTAATACTTGGGCATATTTCTCCTCTGCCCGCTGGCAATGCTTACAATCATCAAAACTCGATATTGCATCTGCATTTCCATACATTTTTCCCGCTCGATGCTCGATGTCGAAGTCAATCTCTTGCAGCATCTCTATCCATCTTGTAACTTGACCCTCTGGATTCTTAAATTCTAGAAGCCATGCTGCGTGATCGGTCCGAAGTATGAATTTTCTGTCATAAAGGTATTTCTAGAAATGTTCCATTGCCTTTACGACGGCCAGCAACTCCCTCCGGGTAACGCAATAGTTACGCTCTGGTTTGGACAGTGTGTTGTAAAAATAACCAATGACCTTTTCTGCTTTGTCTTCCTGGACTTGGGATAATACAGCACCTATGCCCACATTGCTAGCATCAGTGTCTAACACAAACTTTCCTTCTGGCAGTGGATAGCTGAGTATAGGGGCGCTTGTTAAAGCTTCTTTCAAGTGGACAAAAGCTTGTTGGCGATCCTGATCCCATTGGCATTTGCGTTTCCCTTCTGTCAGCCTGGTCAATAGCTTTGCGATATTAGCAAATCTTTCCACATAACGACGGCAATATGTACACAATCCTAGCAAGCTGCGTAGCTCACGTTTGTCCTTCGGAACTGGCTATTCTTTTACAGTCTGGATTTTCTCCTTGTCGACCGCGATTCCCTGACTGGAATCAACATGGCCAAGATACTGCACAGCTCTTTGAAACAGGTGGCATTTATTAGGGCTTAACTTCAAGCCAGAACCTCGAAGCCTTAAGAAAACTTCCTCTAGGTTCTTCTTGTGGTCCCCAAATGATTTTCCCGCCACGACAATGTCATCAAGGTAAACCAGGCACGTTTTCCAGGATAGTCCTCTTAGAATCGTGTCCATCAGCCTTTCAAAGATGGCAGGAGTATTGCACAGGGCGAATGGCATCACAATGAACTACCATAATTCGGTGCCCTTCCCGATTCTCGGGGGCCAATTCTACTTTCCTGTATCCGCTTTTTAGGTCAGGTCTAGGGTGGTCATCGATACGCGGTAGAGGGTAGCTGTCCTTCTTGGTCACGTTGTTTAACATTCGGTATTCCACACAAAATCTGGTTGAACCATTTTTCTTTTTAACCAAAACTACCGGTGAGGCCCAGGGACTGTTGGACGGTTCAATGATTCCCTCGTTGGCCATACTGTCTACGATGTTGTCATGTCAGCCTTCTCTCTTTTAGCAAGTGGGAGCCTTCTTGCCATCTGCCGGATGGGGCGGGCATTTTCCGTATTGATCTTGTGCTGGATTAAAATACTCGATTCCACATAAAGAATTTCACTAATTTATTTACAACACAACACAACTAACTTTAACTCAACTAGATAGAACATTTATGTAGACCACTATTTATGCCTGACTACTTATTTACGAATTATTCTGTCGCGCCATTCACTCCAGTCTGGTTCCCTCTTCCGGCCGTCGGCTTATATATTCCGCATCGCAGGTACTCGTTAACTCGAGAAAGTTCCTGTACATCACATAGCGGCCAATCCAGAACCTACGGGTCAACTTCGCACCTGGCCTCGATTCCGAAGGAGAGTCCGTGGCGAAGTTCCCAACAGATGGCGCTAGTAGTACCATTCATATTCGTGTTACAATATTCAACCGACAGTCAGGTACGGGAGAACAAAAATAGATCAAAGAACCAATTGTTGGTTTCAGTTTTGCTTGGTTGTACAAAGATGAGCCATCCAACTTGTACATACCTCTTGCATCTTCTGGCCTCCAAAAATACCGAATTGCAACGTTGTATTAGTACTGAAGTCGGTCTAAAAATCATGATTGATACTGGAAGGTAATGTCCGAGCAATAAATTATAGACAAAAGGAACCGCATTCTATAGGGGCGCGCCGCTTGGTTGGGTTGTCTCCAGTGGCGGCGAGCTATTGCTGTTGATGAGATGTAGGCTTAACTAAATTCCCAATATGGCGTAATTGTCAAAGCAGATAACATCTTTATTTGCAAACATCTCCAGAATTTTGAAAAGCAAAATATTTCTTTCAAATTTCAATATTCAGGAAGAAGCAGGTTGTTCGCTTCAGTCTGTTATGGAAGGTAGGATGTTAGGTACTGAATAGACAAGCCGTAAGTGCTGGGCTATCGAACATAGTTACGTATGGAAAATGTAAGTATGAAAAAAATTTAGTTTACTAAATGAACGCTGGCTATTTATCCTTCTGGCTACTAATTTCATTAGTTATGAAAAGGATATTTCACCAGTAGTTTAACCACTTTCTGTGTCTATACAAAACTGCATTCTGGTCTAAATGCTTTTTACTTTGTAAACATACTGGTAGGTTCAGCCACTTTAAGCAGAAATCCAAGTATATAGAATTTTTACTTTTCCAGACAATTATGATCAGTTATGATTTGTTAATTTTATTCATCTGTGACTTCCTAGTTTAGTCCGATGACGGAAATTTTAAATGTGCTTTAACAGTGATTTGTAGGAGCCACTGTTGTGATTGATTTCGCGATAGTAATTGTTTCCTGTAGATAGAGATACTGCTCAACCAGTGGTGTTATCCAGAAAAAGATCTGCGGGGAGGCTCAGGATCTGCATAGCAGGGAGGTGGAGACTCGCTTAGTCCAGGTAGCTACATTTCATAGAAGGTATACCATAACATGCTGTGATATGTAGAAGAAGCGTAATGAGCTGTTGCCCTTCGGGAGGTAGACTCCGATGAGCCACAAAACCATCCCATGAATACGCCGGTGTGAAGAAATGATCCTGTTTAGTCATAAAATATTACCAGACATTTGAGAAAATAATATTTTGAATTTCAACAAGGTGTTACGAGTAATCCATGTAATTTTATATAAATGTGGAAGTGGAACAAACAGCGGGATTTAGCATTTAGAAGGCTGGCTATTATTACCTCTAATCGCATGCTAAGAAAAAAATTCGGCCTTATTTTTGTTCATTTTCGTGTTGTGCTTTTTGTCACTGAAAGGTGAACAGAAACACTCCGTCCTGCGACCTGTCTTTATGTAGAGCGTCCCTCTTTTTTCGAGTATAATTTATTTCTTTCATCTCCTTTACCGCCGTCTGATGGATCACTCTAAGCAAAAGCTAAACATACATGGTAATGTTAACCGAAATGACATGGGATAAACAGGTTACAATAACAATAAGAAATTTGAGTGCAGCAACCAGAATTTTTAGAGAAATTTTACAAAACACTTTAAGGAGTGTGTATATTTCATATTTTCAACTCTTGTGTTCTGACGGTTTAATAATAGGAAAATTGATATACGAGTTCATTATATTAAAAATCGCCGCAAACTATTCCACTCTCAAATCTGCCGTTGCTAATATAGGAATCATCAGCTTGAGCATTTTATAGACCAATTGCTTATGGGTGAAAGACGAAAGGTAAGAAATGAAGCTTTTCAAACGCTGATAATTTTCGGCACGGATTCGCGTCGTGTATCGGCGAAGTGTGGATAGAGACAGTTGATTATGGTTTGTTCACCAAAATATTCATACTGATCATATTGTGGCGGAATCATGAATCTTAATATCCGCAATAGTTAGTAAACCAGGCTGCTATGCATATCATTAGCGTGTACATACACACCCTTCAACTGAATAGATACACCAACACACATGCCGCTATACAATAGGCTTTTTTGTGATTTACTGTGTGGAGGCTACCAAGATATCTAAATAAAGGGAAGAAGGGTTACAGGCGGATGGCTCATCTGAATGGGTTTCCTACTTTTAATTTTATTGATTCAATAGAGTATGTAATTCGTAATTTGGCATGTCATAAAGTAATTGTGTTTATACAGGGTAATCCATATTATTATTTTTTTCTGTCTAAACGATATATGATAAATAGCATTTTCTGAAAAATAAGCTTGAAAATAGAGTGCTTTAGCGTTCCACCCATTGGCGATAACCCACCTGTCGTTCTGGTTTCCTTGACATTGTGCAATAAAAGTAACTGCTATACTGATTCTAACAGAGGTTGGAATGGATTATTGTTGGTTCACAAGTTTGAAAATGAGTGTGAGGGTGCTAAACTTAGTAACCAGATAAGAAAGCAAATTCTTCAAACTATGTGCTTACATCCAAAAAGGTTTTTCAGTCTAGATGAAAACAGTCACTTTGGTTTTGAAATGTTCGTATTTATTTTTCAGTGAAAATGAATAATATAGACTGAAGAGTATAAAATTAAATAAAGAAATGGAAGATGACATCTATTTTCTCGCAATATACTTGAACAATTTACTTTACTCATTTACGTAGAATGTAACAATAACAAATTCGTATCGTATTTTCTTCTTTTTGGTACTATCCACCCATTAATCACAAAAATTTAGTTGTTCAATAAAAAGAGTTCCAGCACGGCGTAACTTGAAACTAACAACTTTTTAGGAGAGTAAAAAGAACGGTGGGCTTTTGGAGTCTAGATCGAATGATCTTATAATCCTCCATGTTTTTCTAGTCGCAAATGAAACCTCATAAGCTAATAGTGCCAACTAATGACATTTCGGAAATCACGGTGGCTTTTTCAAGCAAATACATAAGTTATTTTTTGGAGTTTCGTGGTGTTACAACTTAAGCGACGATGTCTCATATTCCAAATATGTTAGAATGACAATAGTCGCCTTTACATCATTAGCAGAGCATCGAAATATTAGCACCCCACTTCCTGCTAGTTTCGCGACACTTAAAATAGTACAGTGTTCTGCGGTCAACTACCTTCATTACCTGGATGTTTACCTTCCTCCTGACTACCTTCTGTATTACAGACACCACAGTTTAACTGCATGTAGGATTTTGGATACCACAATGTAATTTCAGGCACCTCGCCAAAACCTGTTTTAACGATGGAGTGACGCTACTCATCTATAGTCCATATCATTTCGCCACTTCCTAAATGCTTATTGAATCATCTTAGGCGATAATGCGACGTTGCAATTCGGTTTATTTGGAGGGCAGAAGATGAAAGAGGTATGTGCAACTTCGATGGCTTATTTTTGTGCATGTACATATGTATAAAAGTATGTATGTGTACGATAGAGAATAGATGACTAATATCTTAGGTATGAGAACCTTAGGATATGGATCTCCTTTGCTAAACGATAGACTTGAGAAAATTGGCGCAACCGAACATTAATCCTGAAATAGCCGTAAGAACTTTAAATCCCGCGAAATTTCGGAACTAGAGTCCCTATTGGCTAATATTACGACCATGAACTCCATAGAGCGTAAGATTCTGATACATGTATTGCTTTCCAGCCCTGTTCCTAGTTACAATTGGACCCGAAAAGGTAGCAGTCTCCCTAGAGGTGCATTTTTAGCAAGTTCTAACCGTGTTCTTGTGATTCCAAACGTCCAAGTAGAGGACGAAGGTGTATATGTTTGTCGCGCTTACAACAGAAGAGCAAGCATTGAGAATAGCGTCATACTGAATATTCAAGCAGAGCCGACGTTTACGATACCGCTCACTGATAAGCATATCGACAGTAAAGGAGATCTAGTGTGGACTTGTGAGGCGTTTGGAGTTCCTGATGTCAATTACACTTGGTGGAGAAACGGAAGGCAACTAGGTAAGAAACTTTTACAACGACGATACAATGCGGAACAGACAAAACTACGTCTTACTGCGAGCAAATTTCATATACCGGCTGTTTCAATTTTGACCCTCACCATTGGAATCTCGGAAAGGGTAAGCGATACAAAGTGGCTTAAATGTGGGCAAAGTTGCGTATTTAGATAACTAACAAGAAGCTGCTTAGAAAGTTTTGAAATACAAAGTACTTCCGGAGAGATTCGGAAAAACCGAATTCTTCCAAAATCATTTTAATTTTTTCTGACTTGTAGTTGTAATTAAAGCAATATGTTCTTAGTAGTATTTAAATGTACAAAATTCCAGTATAGCGTTCATATGATAAAACAAGGTTGGTTATGGAAGTCGAAAGAAGAAACAAGTTGAAAATTTGACTCTGCTATCTTGTAAAGGAGAAAAAGTGGCAACAACAACATGCAATTTAGTTTGGAATCGCATCTCAAGTAAAATTAGGAAAAAATGAAAATGATTTTGCCACAAATCTGCTATAGCTAGAAAATTCTGTAATTTTTTGAAATAACCGAGGATTGGCAATATCAGTTTTTAGACGTTTTCATTTTTGGGAATCAGAATTAAAAACTCTATTTATCTGTGCAAAAATTCAGTATGGCTTCCATAAGAAAAAATTAAGTTTGTGCTGAAGGACAATAGAAGAAAAGTCATATTGAAATTCTGATTATGCCATCTTGTTGATAAGAAAAAATGGCAATGTCATTGTGAATTTTATTTTAAAACACCACTACAAATAAAGTCAGGAGAAAATTAAAACGATTTTGATAACATTTGGGCTTTTCTGTTTCTCTCAGGAAGTACTTTCAATTTCGAAACTTTCTAAGTCGCATTTTATTAGTTACGCACCATTTCCGAGATGTCACTGGTGAGTGTCTCATTTGAAACACCCGGCATATTATTTACTTTTTGGATTCGACGCAGGATATATCAATATAACTAGCTTTCCCCTTGAGGGTTGAAAACACGATTATGTCAGGTCTAGCCTTGGCCCTGATGAGATTACGTCCCCACACCCAACCCTAGTGTACGTACCTGTTCTACCCTCCTCTGCTCCTCTCCTACGTTGGCTAGCCGCTCTGCGCAGCTGCGGCTTAGCTCAGTACCTGATGACAGTTGTTAAGGATTTACTGGTGTCAAGCGTAGACAAGACCTGAAATAATCATTTTCTATACAATGGATAAAAAATGAGTCATGTTTGATCGTGATGAGAGGTGTTTGGTATCTGACGACGTAGGAAAATTGTACTGTGACTCCATATGATGAAATACCAACAGGTACTCTACATCCTGAGAATGAAATATGTGCGTGTGGATATGCATTGTAGAGACCCTGTGTAAAAAGAACACAATTCAAACATTTATTCATCAACATAAAGATACAAGACTGAGATAAATAAAGTAACCCATAATTCATATAACTCATAACTCTGCTAAATAGTAACCAATGTTTCCTTACAAATATTGTGTAGAGATCTCTGACAAGGCACACGTCTTACTTCCTTAAAGTAATGATTGAAAAAGGTGCTCAAATGGGAGCTCACTTTCCCATCTTGATGATGCTACCGCAGCTGTAATACTACCTGGCGAGGTAAAAATATTGGCTCCTACTAGAGCTATCTTCACCCATCCAGCTGAGATAGTTATTGAAGCGGGTCGTACCTGCCCACAGCAAGTAATAGAGAGTGAATCTACATTTTTTGCTGCCCTTCTATCTGCAGAAACAACCAAAGCAGTCTAGTTGTCTTGGATGAGTTTCCTCCCGGATTGCCTATAAGTATTCCTATCTGTCTTTGATCCAAACGCCGGCCAGAACGTTACACACTTGCTATTCGGTATTGAACTTTGAGGGTCTATCCTTAAGAAAATTAAGTCATGTTATGTTTACTGGAGTAGGCTTACTGATGTCTATTACCTTTAGTATGCGCTTGATCAGAGGATGTGACGTGAGATGATTTCCTAACCGGCGATTTGCTGGAGGGAAGATCACCGAATTGTATAACCTCACTGTATAACTTCACTTAGGAGGGAGACAGCTTCCTGACACGGAAAAGATACGCCAAATGTTGCCCATCTCGTCACATCTGTCAAGTGAAGTTTCAGATGTAATATCAGATCCGATTTCCAAAACAGCTCCCAATTGGGGGCAACCAGAATATATTTTCCTTTCGCTGAGTTCAGGTGATAGAGTATTTGGCGGATTAGCGTTGGAGGGTAACACCCACGCCAGTGAATAATCGCATTCCTTGCTAAAGGCGTTTATAAAAACCGCTTTTCTGTTCCGAAGATCCATCCACGCACAAGCTGGTACCACCTTCGACCGACATGAGTAGAAGATAGTGATATCCAGAAGACTTTTGTACCGCCTTGCCTTTTTACGTATGCTATCGTTCCGTTGTATGACTATAGTAAAATCGACTTCCTAATCAGTCACGGCGGACATTTCCTTTACATTTATATGCCAAGTCTTTTGGTGGAGAGTCCAGGACCTCCTCAGATTTTCGTTCTCTAAGACCTATGTCCGATAAATCCGTCGTTAGGTAAATCGTTGCATCTTGGTGGATTATCGGCGCCACTTTGTGAAACTTTTAGATCCACTAGTGGTCATGGGCAAGCTGCTTATACGCCGCATTTCGCGAATGTAAAATCTGCCCAAAGGGAGCGCAAATCTGGCCTTCCGATCGGACTTGATGCTTGGTCCCGTTCTGTCGTTGATGAGCTAGAATCCAACTCAAGGTTTCCAAAATAGCTTTTCGTTTCTTTTTTGGAAGGGATACTGTGTTCCCGATCGTGTCCCAACTTATGCCTAGATACTCCAAGATTGTGCATGGATCCATTGTACATTTTTCTCGATTTAAAATCGATCCCAAGGCATCTAGAAAGGACAGCACTTCCTAAATTTGCTTTATGTGGATGTGTGGGCTTTGATGTACCAGTACAAAATCGTCTAGATAGCTGATTACACGTATCCCTTTGGCTTGTTCGCTAGCCAATTCAACATTTTGCGAAAGTTAAACGGGCACTCTACAGACGAAAAGGCAAACAGGTCATCTCCGCATCACAATCATTATCTGAAAATTAATGACTCAACTTCAAAGTCACCCTGTATAACACCACTGTAAAAATATGTATATAAAATGATTAATTATATATTATATAAATAATAAATGAAATGAGAAAGAGAAAATGAGCAGACAGGAAAGAGAGTAGAAATAGATTAGAATAGTCAAGATACAAGATAGGTACGGCCCTTTATCTACTAAACTTTATAACAATATCGCAACAGCCTAGTAGTAATAAAGTTTTGTGCTATTCTTATGTACCAATACCTCCTCATTATCTTTAACTATTTCTATATTTGGATATAAATCCTGTCACTAAATAAGGGTCCAAAAAACATTGACTAGTTTTATCTCCGGTTTCATTTTTTATCAGTTAATTCGCACTGAAGAGTTAGGATATAGGAAAAATCATGTAAGTATCTTGGTAGCGGTCCAACTAAATCTAAATATATTTTCTGAAATGCATAACTGGCTGTCGAAGTAACCATAGGTTCTTTACCGTAATGATTTGAATGTTTCATTTTCTGTCAACTATCAAATCTTTTTACAAAATTTCGTACATCTCTGTCAATTCCTGGCCAATAGTGATATCGCTTAATATTATTTGTCATTCTATGAATGCCTGCATGCTCACTAGTCAGAAGTAGGTGAAAATCATTCAAAATTATCCTTTTCTCGGCATTGTTTACAATTTTTTACACCTTTAATTACACATATACGGGGGCCTGCCCAATTGTGATAATTTTTTGTTTCGTTCAATAGCCACTTTATAATATTTGTATTACCTTCATCCTTCAAAACAACTAATTCGCCAATGCATGCTTTCCCACATATGTCAACCAAATTCCTCAACATTTCGTCTCGTGCCAATTTTGATCGAGAATTTTGATTCGCATTCAGGGTACCATGTAAAGGAACATAATATAAGTCTCCCGACTGTAAAGTAGGTTTCTACTTAACTCGTTTAATCTTTTCGATAGAAGTAAAACTTAATTCAAGGCTCTCTTTCGGTTTCTTGAGTACTTCTGCTATATCAGGTTGATCAGGCCCAATATTTGTAGTTTCCTCGTTATCCTTGTCGAAACTGTTATTTTGAATTTTTGCATGTTGCGCTCTAGTCATTGTTGCTATTGACTTTGCTCATGGTTTTCAATTCGTCGGAAGTAATGACTATTCTAGATAACGCATCGGCAGCAGCATTGTTGGAGCCTTTCACATATTCTACATAAAAATCGATTTCTTCCAAGCCTAACAGAAATTTTATAAGGCGACTAGATACATCGGACATACTAAACAAATACATCAAATGTCGATGGTTAGGTTCCACCTTTTCCATTAATTTTAATATTTTCTTTATAGTCTAAAATATTTGGTTTTACAAATAGGTGATTTTATGACACCCAGCGTGGCACCTGTATCAATTAAAAACTTTGCTTCTCTACTAACCACTATAAAACTAACTGAATTAGCGCAATTATTTGCATATGTAAACAGTCCATAATTACAATTTTCACCTTTATGGACGAAAAAAGTTATCCGAGCCGCTGGGAGTGACAAATGATGTGCTCTGCACTTGACCTGCGCTAACATTTTCCTCCACATTAACGATCTAGCATCTCGGATGACACCGCGACCACGCGTTAATGAACGTCCGCGATGGTTTCTCGGAAATCGCTGTTGATCTCCTACTTTCCTCTGATTGAGGAAATTATGATTGTTGTTAGATCTAACATTTCTAGTACAGTTTTGCGCATAATTTCTTTGTTGTAATGATCCCCTATGAAAAGTATTTCTCTGGAATTGGCGTGTAGCATATAGTATATCTGAGGATTATAGCCAAAAGAACTAGTTTCTTCATCTACGGCTTCCCTGATCGCGTCGTTTAAATATTTAAAATTACGGGATGATATTATAGTACTTAATTTTTGACCCCTAAGACCATCAGATAATCTTTTAGTTGCTGTTTTTTCATTAATTGGTCTTAGTACATTGTACGCGTTCGAATTGCCTTTTGATGAGATATGGTCAAATTTACGAAAAGGTATTCGATTTCTTTCCCCAAATCCTCGACGGATCTTTCGCCTTGTTTACATCTAAATAAGTTTGCTTGCAAAGCGCTATCAGATTTTATGGTCAATAGATGTCTTTTTATATCCGCCAGCAATTCGGTTATGGTTGCGTACTCATTTTTTAGTCTTAGTTTTGCGTTATTACTCAGTCGCGTTTCCAATACAAAGTTCACCAATAGGGGCTTTCCTTCCTCAGTAAGCATCGAATTATAAAGATCCATAGCATCAGTCAGTTTATTTGTCGTCTGTTCGGTATCATCCATTACCGGTAAAAAAGTTACAGCTACCTTTAGATCAAACGAAGTCGTCTTTGATGCCCTAGTAATACTTGTCTCAGCCTTAGATTGATATTCGAGAATGTCACCGTGAATTCTCCTAATTTTTGTAACTAATTCCTTGACTAGAACAACGTCAGAGTCATGTATGAGTGAGTCCTTGATTTCTTGATTGGCATTCAGAAAAAATCATACAGCAACAAGTTGTTCAATATATAGAAGAACATAAAATAATATTTTCATGTCAGTTTTCAGGTAGCACCATAGTACCACTTCAGCTCTCTTAGATCTTTGTGATGATGTTATTCGGGCACTGGACAAAAAAATGGCTACTGCAGTAGTATCACTTGATTATCCCAAATCATTTGACCGAATTAATCATAAACTTTTATGCACAAAGATGAAGTACATAGTATTTGATGACAATGCAGTGGGTTTCTTTCACAGCTCTTTGTCAAGTCGCACGCATTGTGTCAGTATTAATAACATACAGTCTGACATCACGATAATACCTTCAGGTATTATTCAAGGCTCGATTTTCCCTGTGCATTTTTTAATATACACCTTTGATTTACATAAAGTTGCAGGTACTATAATAATATGCAGCACCCACTTTGCAAATAAATTTGGATAAAATACATCAATTTTCCGTAGATCATAATCTCGCTATAACTTCAGATAAACCGCAAGTAATACTGTTTTGTTCTGACCATAAAAGAAGAAACAGGGCCCTTTGTTCTGTTCGATGCTTGCTCAACTTTAAGTAGAGAAAAAAAACTTTGTGAATCATTGGTTAGTTTTAGTTCATAAAATTCTCATAACATCGAAACCTGAATACCTGAGAAGTAAATTACGATTCAACTGTCAAGTGCATGACCGAGCTGTCAGAAATCGCTATAGTATCTGAATCGCCCCATACAATTCTGCTTTATTCCAACGTTACTCTATAAACACTTGGGAAAGAGCTTAAAATCAATGTCATTGCCGAGTTTCCGCGAGCAAGTCAAAAGCAGGCTGCTCGCCATAGGCTAAGACTGTGCTGTGCCGTTATGGAATGTGATTTTTATGCTCACGTAGGTGTTTATGTTCTTTTTTTTATAGTATTAATTTGTTAGCAGTGTTACGCTTGGCTCCAGTTGCTACGTCTGGCGCCAGTTGCTACAGGGGTGGGTGGTCGAGACGACGGCGGTCGATCGGTGATCAGCCGCCAACTAGTTTAGGAATGTCTATTATGTGCTGTAAAAAGTACTACTACTATACAATCGCCGTGACTACCCCCAGGTAGCGGCGTCAGGGAGTCCAGTTCTATATGGAGTTCCGTGGTTCCACGGTATCAAATTGTCAACCTGTCGAATTGTCTGTAAAAATTGTAAACAATGAAATAAATTACAAAGTTCGGTTTGAAACAATATATATTTCCTGAAAAGACAACGCCGTATGCTATCGATAAGAATCTCACGAAAAGAGAGGTCGGCTACCTTATATGCTCCCTCCTATGGCTACAAGATGTCGTAACACTTGCATTCAGATAGGCTATGTCTAATATTACACAATTTATTTGGCAAAGGTGATGTGTTACGAAAGAAGGGGGGGCCCCAGATATGTCTATGGCGTGATCTACTGCTAGGTAAGTATGCGCACTGAAATGTGAGACATGTACAAAGTGATGTTACTATAAACTAGTGGATAATCTTACAGCGAACAAATCTGGTACTCTGTATTTCAGCTGTCCAAGAAATCTGAAATCTTACTCTAGTCTGACCTGTAATCTCTGGAATAACCTGTTGGAGGTCCCTTGGTGGTGTTAACCAGCCCTCATATGGTAAAATGTAGGAATGTAGCCGGAAGCCAGCCAAAGCGGTACAACGTTAAGGTTTCAGGCAATGCTAGGTTCAATGTACCAGTTTATCTTCTGAGGTTGCAGAATGTAGTTCTGGTCAAATCCTGGTCTCAGTTATGTACGGAGAATGTAGAAGAGAACCTACAGGAAGTAGAAG